TGTGCTCTGTGTGTGCTCTGTGTGTGCGGGGCCGTCGCTGCTCCCGCCTGCAGGTCCCAGTTCGCGCTGAAGTTCCTGGACCCCTCGTTCGTCCCCATCACCAACTCCCTGAGCCAGGAGCTGCAGGACAAGCCCTCCAAGTGGGCCTTCAACCGGAGCGCCTTCGCGCACCAGAGGTGAGCCCGCCCCGGGATTTCAGGGACTGCAGTCAGGAACCGCTACATTCTCTGAGCCCCGAGGAATTTGCCGGCGGCGAGAGACAAAGGCCGAACCAGAGCATTTCCCCAGGCAATTCCAGCTACCCTGGAAGACTGGATTGTTTCAGAGCAGGACGCCAGACATCATTTCACCGAGCAGAACGTGACCCAGTTTCGCGGCGTGCGAGTGACACTGTCATTCCTCCGGGATAGATGGCTGGGGTTTAAGGCTGAGAGCACAGCGGGCTGGCAGAGCCATGAAACGCCGTGTTCATGGAGGCCAAAACACGCCCAGAGAAACTTACCCGCTGCCGGCAGCTCTGAGCAAGTGCAGTGAGCAAGTGCAGTGCTGCTCCTGCCTCCGGCTCCGCTCGGGCGGCGGGGGCGGGCACAGAGCTGTGCGCTCCTCGGGCACACAGAGCGGCTCAGCGCAGGTGTTGAACGTTCCTGTGAAAGAAAGCACAAATATTTAGCCGTTTAAGATAGCTATGGCCGCCTTGGACTGTGATTTTGTCCTGACAAATGCCTGCTGGTTTAGGGCACGGCTCGGCTCGCATAGCCCACTTGAGGAGCCAGAATCCAGGTCCCTTGAGCCTGGATGGGGCTGCCCCTCGGGGCAGGGCTTGGGCTCTCCTCACTTCTGGTCACTGTTCAGCTCATTAGGACGAGTGACATCCTCCCGGGGTGCCCTCAGGAGCTGCGGACCGCAGGGAGGAGATGGCACTTTACCTGCCCCATCCTTTCCACCCAGGACTTCCCAGGCTGTGGGACAGTGGGCACCCCTCTGTTCCTCCATTCCTGGCACCACCAGCCCCATCAACCTGTCCCTGTGCCACCCCTCTGCTGATTCTAGCTGATGCCTCAGGAGCTGCCTTTGCACTTGTCCGTTAGCCAGAACCCATAATTAGGGCACCCAGTGGGACTCCATTAAAGCTCAGACATTGGAGGATGTGAGCTGGAGGAAAGGTTGTTTGTTTTCCATAAACATGAGCAAATAAAGTGGTATTGGGTTTCTAATTTTATGCCCTGCTAGGGAAATTCCCGAGCAGGGCTGGTTTTATTTGCTTTGTAAGTATCCCTAATAACCCTTGTAAAAGTGCCATCCTGCTCGCCCAAACGCCCCAACGAGACATTAAGGGATTATATCTGCATAGATGGAGACAGCAACTGTCGCTTGGTTTTGTGATTCAAAGCTTGTTAATGAGAACATCAAAATGTATGTATTTACAAACCAGCTCCCGTTAATTCAGCTGGATATCCTGGGAGCGAAGCACGCAGGGCTGCCCCCGGCCCCGTGTCACAGCACAAACACCCTGCAGAGGGTGAGTGTGGGAGGCTGCTCTGACACAGCCCATCCACCATTTTAATCCCAACACCCTTCCCACAGACACAGCCTTAGCTGGTGTCAGTCCCAAAGCCAAGCCTTAGAGCTCCAGGTGAGGAGACAGCTCCCTAATTCCTGTCCATTTATATGACTTTGTTGCACTTCAAAAAGTAAGGCAGTCTAGCTGGAAATAAAATTCCTCCACTGCAGAAAGAGGGGAAATATAACCCCATGCTTTCTTTTCTTTTGCTCTTTTATTGCAGGCAAGAAATCCTTCAGCACGTTGATGTCATCAAAAACTTCTCCTTGACCAAGAGCAGCGTTCGGATCGGACAGCTGATGCACTACGACTATTCCAGCCATAAGTACGTTTTCTCCATCAGCAATAACTTCAGGTCGCTGCTCCCTGACGTGTCTCCCATCCTGAACAAGCACTACAACATCTGTGCCGTGGTGGGCAACAGTGGCATCCTGACCGGGAGCCAGTGCGGCCAAGAAATAGACAAATCCGACTTTGTCTTTCGGTGCAACTTTGCTCCGACCGAGGCTTTCCAGAAAGATGTTGGGAGGAAAACCAACCTCACCACCTTCAACCCCAGCATCCTGGAGAAGTATTACAACAACCTTTTGACCATTCAGGATCGCAACAACTTCTTCTTAAGCTTGAAGAAGCTGGACGGGGCCATTCTTTGGATCCCCGCTTTCTTCTTCCACACGTCGGCGACAGTCACCAGGACACTGGTTGACTTCTTCGTTGAGCACAGAGGGCAGCTGAAGGTGCAGTTGGCTTGGCCAGGGAACATCATGCAGCATGTTAACAGGTGGGTGGTTTTGCCTTGCATTGAACTTGCCAAAATACACCTCTCTGTACAAATACCTATTTGCCTGTCTTATTTATTTTCCCTTCACGCCTGGTGTGGTAAGTTAGGACTAGATCCTGCTCGTTTATACAGCAACTGCAGCTCTGTTGCTCCTGCAGAGATTGGCTCTGACACTTCTCCGTGTTTCCCCAGGTACTGGAGGAACAAGCACCTGTCACCCAAGCGGCTGAGCACAGGTATTCTCATGTACACCCTCGCGTCGGCCGTGTGCGAGGAGATCCACCTGTACGGGTTCTGGCCCTTCGGCTTCGACCCCAACACGCGCGAGGACCTCCCGTACCACTACTACGACAAGAAGGGAACCAAGTTCACGACCAAGTGGCAGGAGTCCCACCAGCTGCCTGCAGAGTTCCAGCTGCTCTACAGGATGCACGGGGAAGGACTGGCCAAGCTCACCTTGTCGCATTGTGCCTAAGAACCTAAATCTCGAAGTGCCAAATGATTGTCTAAAAAGTGCCCAAAACCCAATTAAACATTCTTCAGATAGAATTCTAAAAGAGAAACAAACCCTCCCCAAAACCTTTTCCATAATATAAAATGCTTTTTAGCCACTCCCCCCCCAAGGGTTTCAGCGTATTTAGCGGTGCAGAAGCTTTTATCACGTTCTGTGGGTGCAGTTTGTGCAGCAGCAGCAGAGTTGAAATATTTTGCGTTTCTAGATAAGCCACTCGTTATGTTTTAAGATCTTTTTGTTCCTTAGCATTCCACTGAATGCCCTAAATCTCTTCTTTTGATTGTTCCTTCCCCCTTAGAACTAGAGATGCTAATTTTACAAGGTTTTGCTTCTTCTGTCTATGTTGCTCTCAGTAGCGCAGTGTTGCCATGGCCGATGGAGAAAGCCACTCGGAATTCCAGTGTGTCATCCATCACCTGCAAGTTCCTCAGTGTGGATCCTGATTTCCACTGCTTGGGTATTTTCCTATGTACTGAATTTTACATTTTTTAAACGACAACAAGAAGAAAGACACGATATGGCTCATACCTTAGCTAGGTGTTTATATTGCTCTTGGAATACTTCAGTGTTTTAATTCCACTCGGGACAGGTCCTAGTCCAGACTAGGCAGGCTGAAGCATGTTCATTCCCATCTGTCTGATACTATTTGGTCATTTGATTTTTAAAGTCAAACCACCACAACAAATGGAGTTAGGCTTCTCTGGAGACATGCTGGGTGAGAAGAGCCCCAACCCTGTCCCCCAGGCTGGGCAGGGACCAGCAGGATGGGAAACAGCAGGAGCCAAGCACTGGGATTCTTAAACCTGGGCTTTGTAGGGGAGTGAGCAGGGCAGCAGTGCAGGGCAGAGGGAATGCCATTACCAGATTTGCTTAATGCCAGGTGTTTTGATCAAGAGGCATGTCATCAGTTTCCTGTAGGCAGTGATCATTTCTAAGCAGCAGATGAAAGAAATGGGAACTGTGGGGGCTGATGTGCTCCATACAGTTTTGCAACCCTCCCATGGTCCTGGAGAGGGACAGGACCCCCTGCCAGTCCCAGGGTCAGCCCTGGCATCACCACTGGAACTTTCCAGAGGCACAAAGAGGCACCAAATGCAGGGAAAGAAGCACAAAACAGACTGCAAATATTCGGAAATGGGAATACAGAAAAATTATTGACAGAGCTCCATATTACATCATTGATTTTTAAGCAAAACTCCCCATCGATGCCACAGACCCACATTGAACATCTTGGAATCATTGATTTTAATGGGGAGTTCTGCCCCACGATCGATGGCACAACACAGCCCAAAGTAAATTGCTTCTTAGTATCAATATTATTTTTTTTGCCTGAGCTCTTGCAATGTGGAAAAACATGTCAAAATGTGCATCTTTTGTTTTGCCTGGTCTGAGGGAGAGGTGAGGACAGAAGACAGAGGCTCTCTGGGGCTGCCTCTCCTGGGCAGAAATGGCTTTCCATTAATCAGCAAGGCAATTATGTATCTAATTGTTATTTAGAAGGTGCTCCCTGCTCAGGACAGCCCATGGCCCCTGAATGCAGCATCACCTCAGCTGGGCTCTTCCTTCCCTCTGTCTGGCCCCAAATCTTCCTGCATGAATTCCTGTTGGTTTAGGGACAATCCTCCTCCTCATGACTGAATGTCTAGACAAGCCAACAGAGCTAACGCAGAGTGATCAATACTTGTAAGTACAAAACATTTTAGGTTCTGGAATCCAGAGAAGTCCTCCTGACCAGCTCCCTCTGTCAGGACATCGACTCTGGGCCGCCAGGATCCTGCTCCAGCCCCTCTGCCAGCAGCACAGAGGCTGAGCCCTGCAGGGCCCGTGTGGGGACTCCAGGCAGGGAGGTGAGCAGGGGTGTACATAGGAGTGGGAGTAGTGTTACCTTTCTTCTTTTCTCCATCCCGGGTTTGTACTTTTGTTGCTTGCATCTCCTGTGTGAATGGTAGAAAGGCATGTGCAAAGAGACGTTTTGGCTGCCTGGCTAACCATGGGGTAAACCAAAAAGCAGGTGTGTGTGACTCAGAACTGCCTGTGAGGGGAGGCTGTGGAACAGGCAGCCTAGAGAAAAGCAGGTTTTCTGTAAACGAATGTCTTTATTCCGATGGCTCTACAGTTCAATGCCTGATGGAGTTGTTTTCGATAAAAAAAGAAAAAGAGAAAAAAAAAGAGAAAAAAATGCCATAATTGTACTAAAGGATTCGTCGTTAATGGCCATACAAAGCGTTGTCCATTCTGAAATGCTCTCAGGGCCAGGGCACGGCCCAGGTGAGCGGCAGAGCCGCACGCGCTGGGCAGGAGCTGCCAGCAAAGCTGTGTCCAGCTCCC